AGCCCGGCACCTCTTACGAGGCTGAATTGGGAGGGTGCAGATCGAGCTCAGGGAGAAAGTGACATAGAAGCAACACGTGGGCCTGGGCCCTGGGGGTCCCACGAGGTCTTGTCTCCAAGCAGGTGACCTTCCCTCAGTGATCGGCCCCCGTCCCTGATGAGCTGAACTGAAACTCTGAGACGGGGTCTTAGAGCATAGAAGAAAAGAGACAGCTTTATTACTTTGCCAGGCAAAGGGGACTCATAGCAAGCTAGTACCCCCAACACTCTGAGCCCACCTTGGGGGTGGGGCAGGGTGGTTATACAGCCGTAGCTCAAACAGTAAAACACGGGTAACAGTCTACGACCATTTTCTTGTCATGAGACTCAAAGTGGTGTCGTGGTGTCTCCAGGCGACCAGTTCTGTAGAGGCTCATGGCTGTCGCTCTTTCAATTTCTTCATCTTGTAAATGCCCACGGTGTGGTCTTCTTGGTCATGCCGGCTGTCTTATGAGGCTCCAGTTCTGTGAACTTCTCCCTGGAGAACGACTCAGAAACCGAGTGTGACTATTGCTTTCAGTTACTGGAATAAAGCAGAGACAGTAAAAGTAACAGCTTCATTTTAACAATGGGCTTGGAGCTTCATTTTAACAATGGGCTTGGAGCTGAGAACAGCAACCGGTCGGGCAGGTTAGTTGGCCAGTTTAAGAGCAAGCATAAAAATAAGCAATCTGTTAGCTTACGTGTGGCCATCTTATTAATTCTTCACGGGCACAGCCGAGGTTACCCTCTGTCTCGGTGTCCAGACCCAGCCCTGTCCTGTGCTTCCAGCACCGACAGGACACTGGCTTTGAAATGCCATCTTTCAGAGCAACACGGAGGGCCAGCTCCTCGGACGTGGCCTCAGAGTATCCGGCCCCTGACACCCCAGACCTCCAGGGAGGACGGACCACCCCTCAGCTCCAGGCTCAGAGCGCAGACGCCGAGACTGATTGTCTAACTGGCGTATTTGTGTGCCAGGCGCCCTGCCGGTGCTGGGAATATGCCAATGGCCAAGCAGGCCCAGATGCCCCCTGTGACTTGCAGCTCAGGCTCACGGCCACCACAGCACGACCCATCGCAGGGTGGCGCCGATGGCGCGTGCTCTGTCGGCAGAGGTTCACATACTTCACACATATTCACTGGCTAAATCCTTGCCATGAAGACCTTTTGGTGTAGGTTCTCTTAATATCCACACTTGCAGGTGTGGAAACTGAGGCACAGAGAGGTTGTGAACCCTGGCCAAGGTCACACAGCAGGGAGGGGGCAGAGTCTGGAGCAGAGTCCTGCAGGTGCCGGGAGGGGAGGAGGGGTGCAGGCAGCCCCAGCGCACAAACGCCACGGGCGAGGGCAGGTGAAGGGGTTGAAGGCTCTGTGTTTCCACCTGCAGGGGGCGGGGCCCACCGCACGTGAGCTACTTTCTTTCCAGGAGATCAGGTCTGAGCAATGCCTGGTTGTGGGGGAGGCAGCGCCGGGTCATGGAGCGCAGAGCCACTGTGGAGCCATGGGAAGATGCTGTCAGGGCGGGATGGCCACCTCCTCAGGGCCACTGGAGAGGGAGGAGTGCCCTGCATGCTCACCGCCAGAGGAGTGGATCGGCAGCGTGTGTCCTGGTAAAACTGAGACGCGGGGTCCTGCAGAACGAGCCTGAGCCACGTGCGTCTACTCAGGGCGACCCAGCCACCCACTGGGCACGCAGTGCTGGCGGGCACCGTGATCCCACTGGTGTAAGAACGGTGCTCCTGGACGGACACACACACAAGGGTACAGAGGACCCACTCCCCGGAGAACCTTGAGGGATAGGAACGAGGGGGAACAAGTTATACCTGTAGCTACAGCCGTGCTGGGCCCTCCCCGCTGTTGCATTGCCCTGACTGCTCTGACCAGTGTCTGACCTTTTTTTTTTAATTTTAAAATTTTTGGCGGGGGAGATAATTAGGTTTACTTATTATTTTTGGGGGGGGGTGAGGAGGTACTGGTGATTGAACCCAGGACCTTGTGCATGCTAAGCATGTGCTTTACCACTTGAGATACACCCTCCCTCCCCTGAGCTGCGTCTACCTTTGATTAGTCCTCTGCACCCTCCACAGGCCAGGCGAGGGGCAGAGCTGGGCGGTGGTGGAGTTTTGAGTTCTGGAAAGGGCTGTCTCCCACCTGTGGTGGGTAACAGCTCCTGGGGGTGGGGAGCTGGGAGGGCAGATGTCCCAGAGCCCCTCTGTAGACAGCTTCAGGTCCGATGTTTCAGGGACCCACGTGGGCTGCACCTGCAGACACTCAGGCTCTGACCGAGGCCGGCTGATCTCAAGCGTCTCTGGCCGCAGCCATGCCAGTCGGCTGCCTTTGACCTCAGACAGCTTGGCCACGTGTTAGCACGGCCGCTGGGCTCAGCGGTCACTGCGCCCTTCTGCTCATCCCCCGTGTATGCCGCGTCACGTCCACGCTGCCCTGGTCCTGCAGCTGCTCTGTGTTTGGTGGGTGCAAGAGCCCCAAAATGTCCCAGGGGCCCTGGCCTTTCTGGACTGTCAGGCACTGCACCCTCTGCTGACTGGGGGTCGGGGGCATGTGATTCTGGGCACATTTCTTGGGAGTAATTGAAAAGTCGCAGCTTCAGGAGGGCTTTGAAAGCGGACACCAGGCCGGCCCAAGATGACGTGCAGCGGGCGGTCCCCAGCGGAGGGTCTGCCTGCTTCATGCAAGGGCCGTGCTGGGCCGGGGGTGACACCGGCTGGTACCGGGTGGGGGCCTTCCGGTGAGCTGACTGTTCCCCTTCCTGCCCCCCGCCTGCCACACCACCAGCCTGATTTGCTGAATGGAACCCGGCCGTGGCTTTGCCGAATACTGTGGGGGCTTGGGAACTTGTCCCCCTCTCTTGGTGCCCCTTGTTCCTGAACCCCCTTCTCCTGGACATGTGCGTGTTGGCCTGTGGGGTCTACAGCCAGACCCTTGTCCCTCAGGCCTCTTTGCAGCAGCCAGTGCCTGCCGGGACGCACCCTGAGCTCAGAGGCGGTGGCAGGGGTCAGCTGCATACACTGGGCTTCGTGCCTGGAACGGAGGGTCCACCTGGCACCCCTTCTGCTCTCAGACCCACTCAAGCGGGGCTTGGACACTGTGTCCCGCTCTCCCTGGGCCCGGAGTCTCTGCTGGGCCCTGGTCAGTGCTCTGGACAGAACCACACGGGAGCCCCCTCTCCCTGCTCTCTGTCATCCAAGGCCAAGAGAGAAGGAGGCTGCCTTCCGGAAAGCCGTGGGAGATCCAGGATGAAAGACGGCGGCCAGCACCTGCACGGCTCTTGCCCTGCTGGGCGGGGAGGGGGCAGCGGTCCTTCCTTCCCGTGCTTCCTGCGGTCTGGCTGTGCTCAGCAGGACTCCAGAGCTGCCCCTGCCCCGGGGCCTCCCACACCTGTGCGGGACTGGCAGAGTCCAGTCCAGTGGTGGTACCAGGTCCAGGAAATTCAGGATGCTGACGCCCCTGGCATCCCTGCCGATGCCCCTGGGTGCTCCGCCCTGGCCCCGGCTGCCTTGGCGATGGGCACTCGGGGCAGGCTGAGAGCGCGGTGGCGTGTCCCGTCCATGCATCTGGGTGTAAACAGCAGTGACTTGACTGGGGACGATAAAACAATACCATTTTCAGTCATAGCAAGTAGGTGATTGCAGGGCAGAGAAGAACCTTCCTGTTTGAGACTCCACTGGCCTTCCTGGGTGACTGGCCGTTTTCTACCTACTGGCCTCCAGCGAGTCTGAGTGATGCCAGGCTCACCCCGTGTTTGTCTGAACCCTTCGCTCTGCTTGGACTTTGGTCACCCCAAGTGCCAACAGCAACGACGGTCCCTCAGTGGTTCCTTGGTGCCCCGCCTAGTTCTGGCTTTGCTCTGCCCCCTGGACCGCGGGGCCAGCTTCCCTGTTCACTGCACCTGTTACCTCGTCTGCCTGGGAGTCTCTGGGTTGGGTTGGACAGTGCCCCTGGACCAGGCCTGGCCTCAGCTCTGGGCTCAGCTCACCTTTGAGCCTCCCTCTGGGGTGGGTGGTACCTTCCTCTGATCCAGGGTCATTGGCTGCCCCCAGTGTCCCTTCTAGGCAGCCCCTGTTCTGCCCATAGATGCCAGCTTTCTGCACCAGCAGGCCCTGGCCGAGTGGGCAGCTACCTCCGTGTCCCCTGCCGTGGCCCAGCAGTCTGGATGGAGGTTCTGGACAGTGAGCAGGAGGCCGGGCTGGCTGTGAGCACGTGGGGTAAGCTGGTCCCCTGGTCCCCTGCCCAGCTAGACGGAGCCTGTCTGTCCCTGCATCCGGCGCTGTTGGAAGGGACACAAAGGTGTCCGTGCCCCCAGCCTGGAGCCCTGGTCCTAGTGCGACCTGGTTCAGCGGTTACGTCAGATGTGGGGGCTGGGCAGGGTGGTCCCCCAGCACCTAGGAGCGTGAGCGCAAGAGAGACGCCCCTGGGGTTTGAGGCTGGGTCTTGGTCCTGCCCTGCTGCCCCAGCCAGGGCCACCCAGCCCTCACCCCCAGCCTGGAGACCTGCAGGGCAGCAGGCCACAGGGGGCCTCAGGAAGGAGGGATGGGGCCAACTGTTCCTCAGACTGGGGGTGCCATGGCGCCAGGAGTGCCCCCTCGCCCTGCCTGGCAGCTGCCTTCGCAAGCTGCACAGATGAGTGTTTACAGAGCACACGTGGGTGGTTTGGTCCCTGTTCGGAGGGGAGGCAGGGTAGGTGGAGGGAACCTGGGTGGGGGCAGAGGGGTCTGGGAGGCAGGGGCCCTGAGTGGGGAGGGCACGGGGCCCGAGTTCGAGGCCGAGTCAGTGGGGAGGCCGGGGCTGGCGGGGGCACCCCATCCGATGGGACAGGCGGAGGCAGGAGGGCGGGGCCTGTTAGCCCGTTCTCAATCGACTTGGTAGGAAGGACAAACTCTCTTGCTCTCTAACCTTTTATTTTGAGAGAATTGTGGATTCTCAGGCATGCGGGAATGAGTACAGCGAGGTCCCTGGCCCCCTTCACCTGTTCTCCCCGGTGGTGACCGCCTGCATGATGCCCCCGGATGCTGACACTGGTGCCACCACCCCTACGCAGATGTCCCCCTCACGGGCACTGAGGGTGAATGTGGAGCCAGGCTGCTGTGTCCACCGCAGTCCAGATCCAGGACGGCCCATCCCCACACGAACGTGCTGTTGTCCTTGTGACCCACGTCCGCCTCCTCCGCCCCTCTGTCCCTGGCCCCTGAAATCCCTGTCACTGAGCTGGCTGTGTAAATGGAGTCGCACAGCAGCACCGTTTGAGGTTGGCCGCTTTCACTCGACGCCACTCCTTGAGACGCACCGTGTTCCTTTCACATGGAGTGTCGGGGGCATGGCTGGACCTCACTTGGTGCCGCTGCTCACCTGCCGAGGGACTGGAGCTGTCACGGCTGGGTGACTGTGAACAGAGCTGCTCCACACATTTACCAGGGGTTTTGTGTGCACACGTTCTCATGGATCTCGGGGAGACGCCCCAGGGGGCCATCACTTTAATCCACGCAATAGCCAAGGGTAGGCCAGGATGCCCCATGTAGTCACTGAGCCACGGGGTGAGGGCAGGGGTTACTCATCTCAGGGACGGCTGAGCCAGCAGCGAGGAGGGCAGGGCCTGGTTGGCCACTTTGGGGGACCCCCCAAACCTCACAGACCCTCATCAGAGGTGCCGTAAGACCCCTGCTCCTCAGAGGAGAGGGCTCTGGAGGGCCAGTCTCTGGGGAAGGAGGGGGTGGTCTTTATGGGGGGCAGGGCTGTTCCTGGGGGGCAGCTGGAGAAGGAGCCTGTGTGGGGTGGATGGTGCCCCCCAGTATGTTCATGCTCAGATCTCAACGTCCGGATCTGGGGAACGGGAACTGTGTTGGGGGAAGGTTCTTTGCAGATGTGATTAAGGTAAGGGTCTGAGATCGGGTCGTGCTGGACTACCAGGTGGGTCCTACATCCAATGACAGGGTCCTCATAAGACACAAAAGAGGACACAGGGGACCATGGAGCTGAGACTGGGGTGATGTGGCCACAAGCCCAAGGAGCTGGAAGAAGCAGGAAGGACCCTCCCCTGGAGCCTCCGGAGGAGCTCAGCCCTGCCCACACCTGGATTGCAGACTCCTCGACCCCAGAACTGCAAGAGAACACATTCCTGTCACTCTGAGCCCCCGTTTGTGTTCCAGCAGTCCAGCCGCCCCAGACACAGGCACAGAGCACACTGCTCTGACCCCAGCCCCCCAGGAGGCCCCCGTTACTTCGGCAGGAGACCCCCGCGGGCAGGGTGAGGGGTGGGCTCGAAGAAGGGGCCCCACACCGTCCCCACCCGGCCTCCCCAGCCGCCCAGGCCTCCCCCTCCCTCCAGCCAGTTCACGCACCTGGAGGCCCCGGTGTCTCCTCTACCGCTTGTATCTGTAGCAGTGATCTGGGAAGACATCTGGGCTCTCAGATGGGGCCTCACTGGGGTCTCCCCCACCAGACACACGGGCTCCCACAGGGCCTGGCTGAGCGAGATGTCCCCCATCCCTTAGAGCTCTGCCCTTGGTCAGGCTGCCCGCATGGAAGGCTCACCTTTGCTGCTCATGGTGACAATATTTTCTGGGCCAAGTCCATATGTTTTGCAGATTTTTTCAAATCTTTCCAGGAAGCTGGGTTTCAACTCTGGGATCCGTCCTGAAGGCAGAACAACAGGGCCCGGGGGTCCCTCACTAGCCATTGGGACAGGGTGGGGAGGGTCTTGGGTAGCAGGGAGAGGTGGCTGGTGCCAAGTGGGGCCGAGGGGGCCCCTGGCAGCCTGGACTCCATCGCCCTTGCCCCATGACATGACTGGACTGCAGGCATCTTGGGGCGTGGCGAGACCCCGCCAGGAGGGGGCTCGTCTTCAGAGGAGGGGCCCCGGGGCCCCACCCATGTCCTGGGCAGACGGGAGGCGGTACCGTAGAGTGCCAGCACTTGCGTCTCCGTCCCGTTTCTGACGTTCCAGAGATGGAAGGTGATGTACAGCCGGTAGTCAGTCTCTGAGACCAGCAACCTGTTCTCCCCCAAGTCTGTGTGGACACTTGGCTCAGCATGGCCCTGATCCCGCTGGCACGCGCAACCCCCAGTGGCCAAGCGCATGATGGAGGGCCAGGAGACCCTTGCAAGTCGAGGGTGATGCATGCACTGCTGGACACCCCTGCTGGCCCCAGTAGCCTCTCACACATCCACCTCCCCAGGGCTCCTGTGCAGCCCCTGTGCCAGGCCCCCTTATCTGAGTCCGGAGTCGGCTGTCAAGGGGTCCCATAAAATCCCTTACATCAGAGCTCACCAGAAAATGGCCAAGGCCCCGCGGAGTAGAGCCATCAGACAAGGCAGAACCCACACCACTTACATGTAACGGTGTATTCCCCATTCTTGTCCGTTTTATCACAGACCACGGCCACCTCCACGCACTCACCGTGCACCCTGAAAACCAGTGGGGTGATGCCCCGAGTGGAGTCCACCCCCGAAGCAGTGTGATCAGCCCCTCCATCCCGACCCCCACGTCCCCTTAACCCGCGCCCCAGCCTCAGCACTCTGCTGTGTGCCCCCAGTGCCCCCCCACCACAGACGGACCCACACAGCAGGGGCAGGGGAGAATGTCTGCACTGTGGCGTGGGGTATCTGTCTTCCCCAATTCTGGAGAAAGTGGGCGATACTCACATGAAGTGGAAACTGAATCTCAGACCCCCGTTTTCCAGGCTTTCAATGCTCTGTACGAAGACCCACAGATCCCCGTTTTCTTCTATCCTTTTCATGTCAGTCGAGGCCATGGAAATAGAATACCAGGTCCCTGACACCTGCAGACAGAGGCTTTGGTGGGTGCGGGAGCCCTTGGGGCATCGCGGACTTCTTGGTGCTTCCCTCCTGGGGTCAGGCCCTGGGAGATGGCTACCAGCCAGGGGCCCCTCTGCCCTCCCAGGACCCCTTTCCCCGCCCAGGCTGCTGTCACAGCTGGTGAGGGAGAGAGGTGGACAGCCCCAGGAACAGCATCCTGCCACAGGTCAAAGACCCCAGGCTGCGGGAGGACAGGGGCCCCGCAGTCCGGCCCTCTGGGGACGTCTGGCCCCACCAGACCCACCTTGGATATGTCATAGTTCCTCCGCACGATGGCTCGGGGGTTGAGGTCCTGGGCGAAGACCAGGCTCAGCCCCAGGCCCAGCAGGAGCAGTGCCATGCCCTCTGGTGGGCCCCTGACTTGCGGCCCACCCCCTTTATACCCCTTCCTGTGCTGTGGTTTTTGGCTGCCAGCCCTGCCCTGTCCTCTGCACAAGACGCTGTGTGCTGGGAATATAGCCAAGAGCTGCCTCAGCCGCCCCCACCACTGCCAGGGTCCTGCCCCAGGGACGGCTCCCTCGGAAATCTGCCCGGATGTGGGTCTGGCTGGGTCAGAAGCCTCAAAGAGGAGTGGGACAGTTAGGCATCTTGGCTGGAGGCCCGGCTGGCACCGAGGTGGGTGATGCTAGGGCTCCGCTGGCCTCTCGGGGCTGCCCTTGGAGGGGCCAAACCTGCCCCTTCCAGCCCCGTCCAACCCAGGTGCTTCGATTTGAAAGCATCGAAGCGCGGGGGCAGCCACACGTGCTGGTGGGGGGCTCGGAACAGCAGTGGGTGGTCTCCATCCAGGACAAGGCAGGCTGGTGCTCAGGGAGCAGGGTAGGGGCCAAGCCAGACTGACCTGGACATTGGACACTAAATCCTACTTTAAACCAAAGACCCAGTCTATGTATTAATTGAATTTTTTACTGAGTGTCTACTGTGTTCAGACCCCAGGATTATAATGAAACACTTGGTCTCAAGAGAGCTACGCTCCGAGGGGGACGCAGACCCTAGAGAAACAGAAAACCGGTGGTCTCTCGGGCCCCGCTCCCTGCAAGCTTCCTGACCTGACCACTGACCATCCACATGTCCTCGGACAAGCCATGCCCACTCTGATGGAAACCTCTGTCCCAGATCACCCAGTTGCAGGACCCTCGGTCCCTGTCACATCCTGTTCTCTTTGGTCACACTGCTCACCAAGGCCTGAGCATCAGCCTCTTCTTTGTTCATAACTGGGTTCCCCGTCCTCGGCCACGGTGAGGACAGGGGACTGTGTGAGGACAGAGCTGGTGTGTTTGGTCCATGAGTGAAATTCCTGGAGGAATTTTGGGGCTGGGAGATGCTTCTTCACAGAAATCCTCTTCACTCACCACTCCACCCAGCACTCCTGTTGGAAGGTCTCGGTCTTTGTCCCTGAGGGAGAAATCTTCATTATTTTGAAGCAGTGGTTTGTGGCAGTTCATGTACATGTGCTACTTTCTCAATAATAAAAACAAACTTATTTTCAAAGGGGAGGCACAAAATACACGATCACGGTGTGATCAGAAGGGGAGGTGGGATCACACACCATCCTCTCATTGTGGTTTAATGCAGCTGGCAGATCTAATAACGGGAAAACATGCTGTTTCTATAAATCAGAAAGACAAGCACTTAAAAAATGTTCTGAAAAGGAAAAGCGGGGTTTGCTCTCGTGGGCGAATCCACTGCCTAGGGGAGGGACGAGGGGAGAGAGGGCCGCGCTCCTCTGCCATCAGCGTTAACACTTAACGCTCAGGGCTCCTCCCTGCGAGGAGGTGTCAGGCTCCAGGAGGCGAGGCGGGTCACAGAGGAGTTCAAAATACCCTTTCCTTTCTCAAACAAGACAAAGCCCCACTGTCGGCAGGCAGCCAGGAGAAACCCCTGTTTGGAGAAGCGACATTATGAGCATGACTTTCTGAAGCTCGCATCATCAAAGGGTCTGCTGACATCAGCAGCCACGGAAGGCTCCACCGCAGCTCAAGCCAGCCACGATTTGGGAAAACGCCCGTCCTGGTGGGCTGTCTTGACTGCTTCTCACATCGCTCCAGCTGAGGTGAGGGGCCCCTCGGGAGGGAGGTGGGGGTTTGGATGACCGCGGTGGGAGTGGCACCTGCCTTGAGGATGCCCTCACTGAGACTCACTCTGGAGAGAGCCTGTGGTACCCCACCCACGTGGCCTTGCTAAAGTCCTTGGATTTAGTGGGGCAGTGTCACATTGTGAGGCATGAAAACTGCCCAGTGGAAGCCCAGCCGGTGTGCGGGCATCCAGTGGGAGTTTAATGTGAACAGCCCTTGTGGAGCCCCATTTTCTAGCAGCCACGTCATGGGAGGTAAAGGAAACACGTGGCCTGATTTTCATCATACGTCTGTACCTAGCTCGGTAGATCCATACAATCAGTTTCAAGTTATTGATGAGATGCCTACATTCTTTCCCTTCTAACTACGTTTGTCTTGAAGCCCAGCACGTGCTGTGCACTCAGCTCATCTCAGGTCACAGCAGCCACGTTTCATGAGCTTTCAGCTTGTGGCTCACGGCCACACGTGGCTGCTGAAATGGTCGGTGCAGATCTAAAGCAGAGTGCGCATTAAGTGAGTGCCGGAAACGACGTATCGGAGACCCCATTCTGCTCCAGCGCACAGCCCTAGAGATGTGCCCACGTAGAACTTGCCCCATAAGCTCAGGCGTTGGCTGGAGCCAAAGGTTCCACGTTAGAACCTGACGCCTTTAATTCAGATTTTAACCTCTGTACACGAGCGTGTGCCCTCCAGAAGCCTCACGTGCTCTTAGACTCCCATAGTCTTGGAACTCTCACTATCTCTGTGAGGAGAAAAGAGTAAAATGTTGACTCTGGGGACAGACTGCATCCTCCTCATGACCTCACCACTGTAGACTGGACAGACTGTTGCAAGTCTTTTACGAGGTCAAGGTGGTCATCGATAAGGAAGAGGAGGAGGGTCCGAGACTGTGCACTCAGTCCCCGCAGGAGTGGCCGGCACCCCAGGAGATTCTAGCAGAACGGAGGCGTCGCCAGCTCCCACTGGCTTTCTCCCCGGGGCCGAGCACCCTGGGAGCAGACACGGGCTTGGTGCCCGTGTCTGTAAGTGAGCCCGTTGTTGGGAGGTAGGAGACGCGTGACTCTTCACTATTTAGAACCAGCTTCTCTCTGCTCCTCTAGGAGACGATGCGTTTGGAAAGAACAAAGCTGCTGTTGATTCTGTGTCTTCCGTCACTCATGTTGCTTGAGCATTATTTCGGGTAAATATAGCATTCTGATGAACCACGGCCTGCAGCGGTCGACAGAGGAGATCTAACCTCCGAGTTCTGCCCAAAGATATTAACAGTTTAATCAGATATTACCTCTCCTCTCTATGAGACAAAGCGAAGTCTACTTACTTTAATTCTTTTATTTTAGAACGTTCAAAAGTATTGTTCAAGCACCGTCTGAGCACCGGGCTCTGTTCCAGATGCTGAGGGATCCTGTCTGTCCTCTTGGAGGGCCCGTCCCATCCCAGGTGGAGAAGGCAGACCAAACAGCACGTGTCAGGGATAACACACTTTACATAAGCAAGGTCATGACGGAAAAGCAAAGCATGGCCATGGCACCCAGTTGCTACTTCACACAAACTGTAAGCTGTCCCAGAGTTCCATCTGTGTCTGACCACAGTGACCGCGATGGCTGTGTGCGAGCTGGGGACACGTCTGTGGCCTGTTCAGTTTCTCTCCTAGAGAGCAACCCCAGTTCTTCCCTCCTCTGTGCCTGCGCCCCACGGTCCCCTTCGTAAGCAGTGTGATCTCCCCAAGTGCTGTTTGAAAAGAAGTTGTAGCATGAGACGTAACGTCTTTAAAAATTAAACCTTTGCAATACACGGATCTGATAAAGTCCTGCACCCCAAATATGCAAAGAGCTCTTAAAACTCAACAGTAAGGAAACAGAAACCTTAATTAAATAATGGGCAAAATCAGAACAGACATCTCACCAAAGAAGACATATAGATAGCAAGTAGGCACATAAAAAGATGCTCCACATCATTTGTCATCAGAGAATTGCAAATTAAAACAGCAAGAAGATACCACTACACACCTGTTCGCACAGCCAGAATTCGGAACACTGACATCAGCAAATGCTGGTAAGGATGTGGAGCCACAGGAACTGGTGGGAATGCAGAATGGCACAGCCACTTGGGAAGACAGTGTGACGGCTTCTCACAAAGCTCAGTACAGTGATCCAGCAATGATCTAGCAGTGGGGCTCCTGAGTATTAATCCAAGTGTCCGGAAAACTGTCCACAAACAACCTACACAAGGCTTTATGGTAGCTTTATTCATAATTGCTAAAATCTGGAAGCAACCAAGATGTCCTACATTAGATGAATGGATAAACTGGGTACATCCAGATAAAGGAATGTTCTTCAGTAATAAAAAGAAATAAGCTATCAAGTCATGAAAAGATATAGAAGAAACTTAAAAGCATGTTGGTAAGTGAGAGAAGCCAGAAGCCAATCTGCAAAGATTACCTACTGTATGATCCCAACTACAAGACATTTTGGAAAAGGCAAAACTGTGGAGACAGTAAGGGGATCAGTGGTTGCCAGGAGGTTGGGAGTGGGGGGGGGTCAGTGAGCACAGAGGGTTTGGGGGCAGCGGAACTGCTTCATGTGCCCCTGCAATGGTGGGCACATGGCACTACGCCTTTTTCAAAACCCATCGAACTTTACAGCACAAAGAGTGAGTCTTAACAGAGATAAATGAAACAATCATTTAGGAGGTTGGGGGAGGTTGGGGGAAGTTGGGGAAGGAATGATGGAAGTGACAAAATAATCGAACTGTATCAAACACGCTGGAAATAAATTCCCTGAGGGCGGAGGAAGGCACTGACTGAGGTCACTTTGGAAGCGAGTGGAGTCTGGAAGAGTAAAAGCAACAGAACTGCACATGAGACTGTCTCTAGTTGATAAAGCCATTTCCCGCTGGGAGCACAGGGTAGCGGCTCTGAACCCTCAACTGGAACGATTACGTAAGTGGACAACGGGGCGTGGGAGCCAGCTTGTCACTGGTGGGGTGAAAGTTTATAGGTGAGCAGGGGAGGGTAGGTGGACCCACGTGTCGATGGGTTGGAACTGGAGACACCAGTATGAGCTCCGGTTTAACTTCCCGGAGCACAGAGTCACACGTGGAAGTATTTATAGATACATTTGTACAGGTTGGTACGAATGAATACACACGTTTCTTTCCTTGCTTTTCCAGCTGAGACAGCCTCGAGAGAATGACACCCCCAGTAGCAGTGGGCACACCTAGCCCCAGACCTTGGTTTCTAATATGATTCTACAAAACAAAGCAAAACCCCAAACCAGGGCTCCTTGGAGAAATGTCTGATTCTAAGACTGAGATGGAAGTACATAGGATGAGCCTGCAGCACGTCAAAGGAACGCAGAAGCCAACTGAAAGAGTCCCCAGTGGATAAAGGTGGAAGAATTTGAGCAAGAAAATAAAGTGGTATTGGATGATGACACAAAGTATAAAACAGATATCCACTCATGTGGACGTGAGTCCACGTTGGTATAAATAAATGACTGAAGAAACAAGGAAATGAATGGGAAAGAAGAGACAAAACTGCCCTGCATAAGGATTCCAAGTAGATACTCTCCTCTAGAAGGTGGAGCTCATGGGCTGCGTGGTATTTCTGCATAGAGATTACAGCGTGGAGCGTTGGAGACAGAGCAGCTTTCCAGTGGGGAGGCCTGAAAGTGCAAACTCAAGGCCAGGTGGTCAAGGTCACACCCGCTGGGATAGGTCAGGATGCAGAGACTCACAGCTGGGAGGAGCCTAAGCAGACGTGCATCACGCGGGTCCTGGACAGGGTCCTGGAACAGAAAAAGGACGTTGGGGATGAGTGGAGGAAATTTGACTGATGCGAGGAGCTGAGTCATTAAGAGTGTCACCATTGCTTCACGAATGGTAACAAATGCCCCCTAGAAACGCAAGCCATTGATGGTGGGGGAGCTGGGTGCCAGTGGGTCCAGGGACCACCTTCACAATTTTTCTGTACAATGGCTCTAAAAGTAAAGTTTATTTTAAAAGGAGGAGAAATAAGAAAAATGCATTAATAATGCAAGATCAAGGCAGGAAAAAATGAACCCCGCTGCTCTGGTTGTCTTCCCGCAGGATTATTTTACCTTAAGGAAAGGGCTCAGCGTTGAGATCGTCTCTTTGGGGGTAGTAATGACGGGCTTTCCTCGGCAGAAGGGGTGCACACTAATCCACGGCGTGGGTTTTGTCACGTACCCCAGAGCTGTCAAATTACACCTGGCGTAGAGTAGGTGCTTGGTAATCATTTGGTTTAAAAGAAAGTAAATAAACAGATCTGAATCCTTGAATTTTTGTGATTCCAATTGCAATAGGTCTTTGTTGAAATTCAAAACGTAAATGATCTTTTTTCCCACTGATCTAAAGAATAAACCACTTACCATGAGGGTTGACAAATTTAGCAAATAAAAATACGGGATGCTTAGGTAGCCTTGAAGTTCTGATAATGCATAATTTTGAGCTCCAATTCCCCATGCAACACCTGGGACATGCTTCATTGAAAACATTATTTGTTGCTTCTTAAATGAGAGTCCTGTGTGTGCCTGGCAAACCTTCCCCCAGAAGATGCATCTCTGAGGGTGAGAATCTTTGCTGTGTGAAGATTCTACAACCTGGAAAGCAAAGCTGGCAGGAGTCGAGAGATTCCAGCAGTGGCAGAACCAGAAGGAACAGAAAAGCGCAGACTGGCGTCCCTAGAGTCAACCGCTGTCGACTTCTTCGCCTGTCAGTTCAGCAACAGTCTTTACTTGTGCACGTCTCCGTGTGGATTAGCCTGTGTGTACCGTGTGCGTGCAAGTGCAAGGAGTCTGGCGTTGAGCAAGGAAGAGTCAGGACGCGGGACTGCGATCTTGCACCGGGAGCTCCATGGGGCAGGGACCTGGAACCAGCGGGGTGGGGCTGCCGCCGAGAAGGGGATCACGGAGGGGCTGCGTCTGTCTGGATACACATTCTCTAACCTGCTTTAGTTTTGTTTTTCCTAATCCTCTCAACCACACCTCTTTCCTGACCACCCGTTCCTTTCCAGACCCTGGTGAAATGTCTTCTCTCCAAGCGGCTTCCCCTGGTCCCACATTTGGGCTGAAGGTGCCACGTTCAGCCATTGGCTCCTTAGGGTCCGGTCACCCTCGTTAGCACCACCACGGGGATTATTTGGGCTGCTTCTCTGCCGCAGGTGCCTGGGGGTGGGAGCTGGTTCACAGCTGTGGAAACAGCACCAAGAGCCCCCAACACACCCGAGGGGCTGGTAAATATTTGTGGAATGAATAGATCACTTGTTATAACTTGGTTTTCCCTTCACACCCAGGGATAATCAAGGAGAAGAACTTCAGCTCTCAGACTGGTTTAATCCCCGGTAAGAACAAAACTGTGTTTACAAACACACACACACACACGCATACATGCGCATGCACACATGAACTCAATTTGGAGTGATGAGTTTTTTTTTTTTTCTTTTATCCCAAGCGGCAAATTAGAGCATCCTGGGAGGTTTCCATGAGTTGGAGTTAATACTGACCCGGTCAACTTACTTGAACCTTCCTGATTTATTCAGTGAAACAGAGAATCCCTTTGGAGACAGCTTGAAAATGCCGTGAACAGCTTCTCTTGATCGTGGCCTCAGCTCTCAGGAGAGGGTCCTGTTTTCAGTGGCAGATACGCAATATTCTGCTGTATGGTTATATGCCATACTTCTTAGCTAATCCCTTCTTGGCTTTAGATTGTTTACAGTTTGGGGTTCTTGCTAGTAATGTTCCAGTGACTAACCTTGGACATATATGTTCTTACACTGTCATGTGAGTTTATCTGTAGGTTAAATTCCTGAAGCAGAGTCATTAGGTCAAAGACGGCAGACATTTACAATTTTGATGTAAGCTGCTAAATTTCCTTTTAATAATTCACCACGTTACTATCTTATCTACAGTGGATAACCTGTCATAAAATCTTTTATTCTTGGCAAAACTATTAGTGAAAATATCCAAATTCAATTTACATTTCTGTAATTGTTATTGTATTTTATCATATTAATGTGTCTACCATTCATATGTAATCTTCTGTGGATTCCTTTTCCGTACATGTGTTTTCCAAATGGACCTCAGGTGCTCAGAGCTAGATTAATCAGGAACCATGATTCATGAAACACTATCTTCATGGGTTTATGCAAAACCTACTTATGTTATTTATTGATTTGTTTGCTGATAAGCAAAGTCTTGCTTTCTGATGTTTGGTGATGCCAATATCATGGGCGTAAAGTATCTCTTGAGGTATGTCACTAATATGATGCAGTAATCACTTCCAAAGGTTTTCTCCTCCATAAACTAATGAGAAAACTGGCCAGAATTGTTATAATCAACTCTTTCTGAAAGCTGGAAATTAACCAGGGGCTCACACTACTCCAGGGAGCATGTACTCAAGAAAAACAGCTCTCGGTAAGAAAAGTGAGGTTTAGTGGCATTTTAACTTGCCCTGGACTGGGTGCCTTTCTCTAGCTCTATAAGGGCCTGGAGTCAGATTCTTTCTCCCTCCCCAGGGTTTATTTTTGCTTTTTGTTGTTACGTTTGTTTGTTTAATGACTTTTCCAAACTAATTTTATAAAATCTGTATTATTTGTCATTTATGGCCACTGAAATCTCTGCTCTGTTGGAGAGAATCTGATTTACAGACTTGCCATATTATATTATTTAAATTATTTATTTTCAATCAAAAACTACCAAATATGCAAAGAAACAAGACAGTGTGGTCTCTACACAAGAAAGAAAGCCATGAATAGAAACTATTTAGTAAGTCCAACACCTGAGCCTGAAGAAGCCCAGGTGCTGAACTTACTAAAGCTTTAAATAAGTCATTTTAAATATCTTCAAAGAACTAAAGGAAACCAAAGTATGAGGACAATGTCTTACCAAAGACAGTATCAATAAAGATGTAGAAATCATTTAAAAAAAAAGAATCAAATAAAAATTCTGGAGTTGAAAAGTGCAATGTCTGAAATAAAGAATTTACTGGAGGAGTTCAACAGTAGATTTGAGCAGACAGAAGAAAGACTCAACAATTCAAGGAGCTCAACAAATTCCAGATAGGATGAATTCAAAGAGATCCACAACTAGATAGACCAAAATCAAACTATCGGAAATCAAAAGCAAAGAAACACTCTTGAAAGCAGCAAGAGAAGTGACTCAATAAGATTAGTGGATGATTTTTAATCAGCCACCATGGAGACTAGAAAGCAGTGGGATGAAATATTTTAAATGCTAAGGACAGAAATCTGTCAAGTAAGAATTCTATATCAGGAAAAATATCCTTAAAAAAACAGAGGGGAGAAGAAGAGAAAAAATTCAGGCATTCCCAGAAAAACAAAAACTGAAAAAAAAAATGATTACTTGCAGAACTGCTGTGCTAGATATACTGAAGGAAAATCTTCAGGCTGAAAAAAAATAGGACACTAGACCGTAACTTGAATCCACATAAAGAGATATAGACCACCAGTAAATATAAAAGACAAACAGGTAAATTCAAAAGATAGATTAAATATATTTTTGTTTATAATTCTCTTCCCCTATCTGATGTCAAAGACAGCTGCATAGGCAATAGTTACAAATCTGTGCTGATGGCCACAAAATGTATAAAAATGTAATTAGAACTACAATAGCAGCACACAGGGCAGGAGAGGAACTGGAGCTATACAGGAGCAAGATTTTTGTATACTATAGAAATTAAGTTGGTGTTCATTGATCTAGATTGTTTTAGGTTAAGGTGTTAATTGTAGCCCTCGAGACAACTACTAAGAAAATAACTAGAATGTAGAGTAAAAGAAAAATAAATGCATTAAAATGGTAGTGTAGAAAATATGTATTTCACATAATAGAAGGCATGGACAGAAGACTAGATAGAGGAACAAAAATAATATAAGACATATAGAAAACAAATAGTAAAACGATGACTATGCTATTACATTTTGTGAGTGGATTAAACACTTCAATTCAAAGGCAGAGACTGTTAGAACTGATTTTAAAAAACATGATCCAACCATGTGCTGTCTACAAAAGACACTTTAGATTAAAAAATGCACACAAACCTAGTTTATGTTGAACTAAAAGGATTAGAAAAGGTATACCATGAAAATGGTAACCAAAAGGGAGCTAGAGTGGCTACACTAACATCAGAAAATTGTTACTCTAGACAAAATAGGACATTTTATAATGATAAAAAGTCAATCTACCAAGAAGAAATGATTAGAAACATATATGCACCTAACAACAGAGTCTTAAAATACATGAAGCGAAAACTTACAAAAGCAAAGGGAGAAATAGACAACTCAACAACAGTCGGAGCCTGCAATATCTCACCTTCAATAATGGACAGACCAAAGGGACTGAAAGTCAAGAAGAAAATGGAAGGCTTGAAGAATGCTGCAAATTACACCCAAGAGACATCTGTGGAACATTTCTTCCAACAGCAAAAGCATATTCATTCTTCTCAAGTGCACATGGAACATTCTCCAGGATAGACCATTTTAAAGACCATGATAATATAAGTCCCAATAAATTCAAAAGGATTTGAATCATGCAAAGTCATTCTCTGATCAAAGTGGTATAAAAGAAGCATCAACAACAAGAAGAAATTTGGGGAATTCACAGATATGTGGCTCTTAAACAACACACTCCAGAGTAACTTTGGTCAAAGAAGAAACAAGGCAAATTATAAAATACTTTGAGATTATTGATAATAAAAGCACAATATACGAAAATTTATGGGATACAGTGATAGCAGTGCTTATAGTGAAATTCACAGCTGTAAATGTCTACATTAGAAAAAGAAAGATGTCAATTTCATAACCTAACTTCACACATTAAGAAAATAGAAAGTGAAGAACAAGTTATACTAAAGCAAGCAGAGGAAAAAAATGATAAAATGAAAGAGTAAATGAAATAGAAAAATATAGAAAATCAAGGAAACCAAAATTGATTCTTTAAAAATAGCAACAAAATTGACAAAGCTCTACCTAGAATAATCAAATAAGAAGAGAGAAGATTCAAGTTACTAATGTCAGGAGTGAGAGAGGGAACAACCTTCAGAAATAGTTATGATTATTAGGGGATACTATGAGCAATTGTATGCTAACAAATTGGATACCCTAGATGAAATGGAGAAATTCCTAGAAAGACTCAAGAAGAAAGGGAAAATTTGAATAGGTCTATAACAAGCAAAGAGATTGGTGATAAAACATTTTCTATGAAGTAAAGCCCAGGACCAGATGACTTCATTGATAAATTCTACTCAGCATTTAAAGAAGAATTAATACCAATCCTTCACAACCTCTTCCAAAACTTAGACGAGAATTCATTCCAGGAGAACAGTATTACTCTGATTCCAAAACCAAGACAAAGACACCAGAGGAAAACCACAGACCAATACCTTGTATAATACAAATGCAAAAAAATTTTCCATAAAATACTAGAAAACCAAATCCAGTAACATGCAAAAAGGATTATACACCACAGACTAGGGGGATTTATTCCAGGAAGGCAAGGTTGAGTCAGCATAGAAAAATCAATCAATGTACCCTGTATTAATAGAACAAAAAATAAAACCACATGATCACCTCAATATATGCAGAAAAAATCATTTGAAAAATCCATCATCCTTTCATAATATAAACCAATTCAACAAACTAGGAATGTCAGCCTGTTAAGCTAAAAACACACCACCACCAACGATAAACGTAGGTGGTCAAGTGGACTTCATCAAAACTGAAAACTTTTGTGAATCAAAAGTCACTATCAAGAAGGTGAAAAGACAAACCACATAATGGGAAAAATATCTGCAAATTATATATCTAATAAGGGTCTAGAATTCATAGTATATAAATAACTCTTGCAATTAAACAACGAAAAGACAAAAAGCAGGGTGGGGGAGTGGGCAAAGGATCTGAATAAATATTTCTCCAAAGAACAGAAACAAATGACTAATAAGCACAAGAAAAAAAGCTCAATATCATTAGTTATCTGGGAAATTCACGTCAAAGTTGCAGTGAGAGACCATATTTCACCCTATAATGTGTAAAGATTGTAAGATGATTAGAATCAAAAAGTTAAATTTGGAGAAATTTGAACTCTTATAACCTGTTGATGGGAATGTAAAATGGTGCAGCTACTGTGGAAAACAGTTTGGCAGTTTCCTAAAAAATTGGCCATAAAATTACAAGATGACCCATCTTTCCGTGTACACCCAAGAGAATTAAAACACATGTTCACAGAAAAACTTGTACATAAATGTTTATAGCAGTATTACTCACAACAGCCGAAAAACGTAAAGAACTAAAATGTCCATCAACTGATGAATGGATAAGCAAAATCTATTCAGTGAAATACTATCCATTCATAAAAGGAATGCTGTGCTGATTCATGCTACCACATAGATAACCCTTGAAGACATGCCAAGCGAATGGAGCCTGACATAAAAGACTGCACATGCTATGATTCCTAATGCCCACGATAGCAAAGCCACGGAGACAGAAAATAGATTAGTTTGTGCCAGAGTTTGCAGAGAGTGGAGAATGGAGAGTGACTGCCAGTGGGTGTGGTGATATAGCAAAGTATTTCATTTTCTTGGGATCAACTGTAAGATAGCATTGCATTTTAGTTTTTATTTTTATTGAATTGCAGTCGGTTACAATGTGTCAATTTCTGGTGTACAGCACATTTTCATATTCTTTTTCATTAAAGGTTATTACAAGATATTGAATACAGTTCCCTGTGATATACAGAAGAAATTTGTTTTTTTAATCTATTTTTATATATAGTGGCTGACATTTGCGTATCTCAAATTCCCAAATTTATCTCTTTCCAACCCCTTTCCCCTGGTAACCGTAAGACTGTTTACTATGTGAGTCTGATGAACACATCTACAGAACAGAAACATATTCACAGACTAGCATTGTGTTTAAAATTTCTGTTTCTGCATGTTCATTGCTAATATATAGAAATGAGAGTAATTTTGTGTATGCACTGATCTTGTATCCTGTAACCTTGCTGAATTCATTTATTAATTCTAGGAGAGCATTTGTAGATTCCTTACTCTATGTAGACAATCAAATCATTTGTAAGTAGGGACGGCATTATTTCTTCTCCTTCCAGTCTGATGCCTTTATTTCCTTTTCTTGCCTTATTGCAGTGGCTGCAACTTCCATTACTCTGTTGAATAAGAGTTGGTGCTAGTGGACATTCTTACTTCATTCCCTGTCTTAGGAAGAAAACATCTAGTCTTAAGCCACTAAGTACGATGTCAGCTGTAGGATTTTTGCAGATGCTCTTTATCAAGTTAACATAATTCCCTTCTGTTTCTGTTTTTCTGAGACTTTTCCTTTTTTTTTTCAGACTTGAATGGGTGTGTCAATATATATGAGCATTTGATGATTCTTCTTTAGCTTCTTGATATGATAGGTTGCACTGAATGATTTTCAAATGTTGAACGGGTTCTGCCTATTTTAAGTCCTGTTGTTGTTTCATTGTTACTGAAAGCAAATCTAACGTCTCTCTCCCTTTTTGGACTCATCTTTTCCTGCCGGATTGCACTGATGGACTTCAAGCATGAGGGAGAAGGTTAAAAACAAAGCAAAACAAAACATCCTCTGTATCTTCTGGGAAAAGGTGCAGGAGAGAGAAAAAGGAGGGTGGAAAATACGGGACACGCAGGGTAGACAGCAGTGCTGTGCCTACCGTAGCGGCTCAGGCACTAACCCTGGGAGTTCTGACGCTGTGCCACCTGGGTGCACAATGCAGTTAGAGCTCAGGGGGCAGCCCCTGGACTGCAAAGGCAGGGGGTGTGATGACCAAAGCAGAAACTGGCTGGGTCTCCCATCCCGACCCTCCTGCGTCCACTCTGTGGAACCAGGTAACGCACCCAGTGTCTGTGCCTCTGTCTCCCCACGTGGAGAGCTGGGACCATGATGCTCATTGTACAGGGTGCTGCTGTCACAGCGAGGGCGGCGCCGGCTTCACGTGCTTCTTGTGTGCTCAACAGACACCGCCCTGATGTCGTAAGGACCACGAGCCGGCTTGCCCCGGTCATGTGGGAGGGCACTTTCAGCAGGCAGGAGCTGGAGAAACATTTCAGGGAGCAGAACCTCACGCTGGGCTTGGTTGTCCTTGCTCCTGGCGGGTAGGGGCCTCCAGCCCAGTCCGTCTTTTCTTCTGAAAAAAATGCACATGAGCACACCCAGACCTTCCACCTCCAAAGGACCGCCCGTTGAGCCTGTAACTTGGCTGCCCTGGGCACAATGTGATGTTATTTCTCCTTCCTTAGCTGGGCCATTAGCATCACTGGGCTGCCTTTTCACCAACGTCTCTTTCTTTCCAATGGTTGTTTCAAAACTTTAGGGGCTTTCCCCAGACTCTCCAGCCCCCTACCACGTCCTTCAGTGAGCGGTGCAGCTGAAATGCAGACCCAAGCTCACTGTCCTCAGCCACTGGGAGTTGCGCAGCGTCGATGCTTCCGGTGTCAGTCAGCATCTCGGATGATGCTGGCTGATGCTGCTTAAGTGCTTCGGGAAGCGAGCGCCTCCCTCCGCGGGTGCATGTTTTGCAGGCTCGCAGAGCGGTACCTGGAGCTGTTCCTGCGCTCGGCAAATAAGTACTTCATGACCGGCTACAGGGTGGTCTTCTACATCATGGTGGATGACTTGGACAGGCTACCCGACCTCGACTGGGGGCCCCTGCGGCAGTTCAGAGTGCTCCCGGTCAGCGAGGACAGCTGGCCGCACGACCTGCACTTCGTGCGCCTGAGGAGCCTGGGCGAGCAAATCGTCCAGGGCATCCGGGGCGAAGTGGACTTCCTCTTCAGCTTGACCGTGACCCAGCTCTTCCAGAGCGCCGTGCGCGTGGAGGCCCTGGGCGCGTCTGTGGCTCCGCTCCACGCCTGGTGGTACTTTAAGAACACCGAGGGTCTCCCCTACGAGAGGAGGCCCAAGTCGGCCGCGTGCATCCCGCTTGGACGGGGCGATTTCTACTATGACAGCGCGTTTGCGGGGGGCACGCCCCTGCGGGTGCTGGACCTCACCGGATCGTGCCTGGAGGGAGTCGCTCGGGACCGCAGAAACGGGCTGAACAGCACCTACGAGAGATACCTCAACAAGTACTTTTTCCTCCATAAGCCCACCAGGCTCTTGTCCCCAGAATACAACTGGGACGCGGATCACCACCCGCCCCCGCAGGTGCAGCGCGTGAAGGTGGCCCAGCAGGCCAAGAGGGGCTTATGGGCCACGGCCGGCGAGGCGCCACGATTCCCTGCCACGTGGCGCATCTTGAAGCGCCCCAGTTTTCAGAGACACCAACATTGATAGGGACCACAAGGAAGTTTTTCTCCTTGCAGTTTTGAACCATCCCATTTGGGCCAGTGCAGGATAAAGAATAAACAAAGAATTATTTAATGTTTAATACACAGTGATGTTAATATCTAGACATCGTAGATAAGCTGGAAATCATTTTGGAGGCATAAAATGGAATTTTTTTTTAATGTTGAAAGACTCCAGTTCAGAAAAAATATGTATATACACAAAAGGGCAAAGGATTATATGTCAAGGAGAAGCCACAATGTTCATCAGCGCACCCACAAGTGCGGGCTGTGCTCCTCAATCTTGGGGTGAGGACCGCTATGTTTAATACCTCGAACCGTCTTGCTCTGTCCAGCGTGGGACTGGGTCTGTGTGAACTGGAGACTTTCTACCAGATCTGCGTCTTTCTTTCATTGTCACAAAAGAGAGGTGTCAAGTTCATTTTTTAAAATTCATAGTCATTTTATTTGTCTATTTTTTTTAAAGACGCGTACCAAGTTTGGAGGTAGAAGCAGACTTCTGCCAGGTACAGCAAGGGGTAGGAAACAGGGCTGTGTCTGCAGACAGCCTGCAGGGGAGCAGGGAGAGGAGACTGCTGGTGGTATTTCTTTTGCAAGGTCAAAACTGCTTGAAGCAGGCAGCTCGGAGTGCCGGGCAGCTCTGGACTCGGAGCCAGTCCCCACGGGGAGCTGATGGGACCAGGTGCGATTCGTCCCTGGCAGTGAGTGGGTACAGGGTCCGTGTGAGGGCTGGAGGGTCCCAAGTCACAACAAGGCGCTCTGCCTAACCCTCTTTCATGGGAGAAAACGCAGGTTTAGTAAGTGTTATAGCTTTAATTGTGTCCCTCCCCCGACCAGATTCGCCTGTGGAAGTCCTAGTCCCCAGAACCTCAGACTGGGACTGCATTTGGAGATGAAGCTTTAAAGAGGTGATTAAGGTGAAATGAGGTCACTAGGGTGGGTCCTCATTCGGCAGGACCAGTGACCTTATAAGAGAGCTGACTAGGACACAGACAGGCCTCCTTTGACTAAATCACGATGCTCTTTTCAGTACCTCATTCTTTTTGCATGTCGCAGAGTAGCTCTCCATTAAAAAAAAAGAAAACTATGAAACTTTCAAAACAGAGGACATAGATAATTCCATCAGCCACAAACCCTCCGTCTACAGAGATCAGTTTCAGTTACTAGGTCAGACGTGGAGAGAGGAGGGTATGATATAAATACTGCACGAAAATAAACAAAGGCTGTTTACCCCCTTACAATTCGTGGAGAAGGCTAGGAGACTTATGGAGAAGGGTTCCAAATTTCCGCCTAGAACAGTATCATGGGATCATGATATTGCTAAGGTAAAGTTGCTAACGTCTAGAATTTCCAGGTCCAGGAGCAAACCTGTGGCAAAGCCTTAGGAAAGCAGGTCAGCCCTGAATGGCATTTTCAGTTTCCACCCCTCCTGGCAAGAGCGAGCTTCCTCACACCGTGGGCACTAGTTGAGTTTTTAAAAACTTTAATTTTGCCAATTTGATAAGTAAAAAATAGCATCTCTTTTTCTTGGATTGTTTGTGCTGTCAAATCCTCTTTTAAAACATAGTTATCAGCCATTTGGCTGTGTGGGCACCAATGACCGATTTGTCTTTAGTCATTTTTCTTACACGGGTGCCTGTTCGTCTTTCAATGAATTTCGAGATATGTATTCATTGACGTGACCTAAACCCCTTGTCAAGTTTGTTGAAAATATTCATCTCAAGTTGTCATTTGTATTTTAATTCTGTTGATGGTGTTTTCGCTGAACCAAAGTTTAAGTTTTTCTATAATGACTGTATTTCCCCTGATACATTTATAATCCGTAGTGTAGGCAACCCATGCCCGGGTTACAGATGTTATAGAACTTTCAAGGTTTCTTTTCATTCAGAATTAATCGGCGATTAATTTTAAGATAATGTGCAGAGTTAGGTATCTAATCTTATTTTTTCTTCTCAGAATATCTTGGCCATTCTCCTCATGCTATTTATGGAATAAATAATGCTGTTTTAAAAAAAGATGGGCCATTTGTATGTTGTAGTAAGTTATTGTTCTCACCTCTGGTCTTTCTTGACTTTATATCCAGATTTACTGCTCCTTTTTGTCCCTGAGCGGATGCCACACGATTTTAATCGCGGTCATTCCGTGTTAGTTGCGGTGGAATGCGAGATCCGTTTGCATTCTTCTCTCTAAAATGTTTTAAAACTTTTTGGTTCCTTCTTGTGGATTTGAGATTCAGGTTTGCAATTTGGGGAAACTGTCCCATTGGAATGTTGATTAAGCTGCTTGAAATAGATAAAGGTTAACTTCAGATCGTTAACTGTGTGTGATATTGAAGACTTTGCAGGAATGCCACACATCTATTTATTTAAGTCCTTTTTTTTCCGTGTCCCAGAGCAAGGATGTATTTTTTTAAATGTGATTTTAACATGTCCCTTGTATTTTTCTTTGGGGTCAGCTGGTTTGTAGGGAGGCCCCTGGGCTTTGAGCACCTGTTCACCCCCAACTTGCCCGTGGGCCGCAGGTGGAGTCCGCACAGGTGGCTGATGGGGTCCCTGCCTTCGTGCTGGCCTCACGCGGTGGCCGTGGTGGAAGACACCCCCCCCCCTCACCGGGAGGCCTTGTTCTTGCCGAGGGCGTTTCTGGGGCCGGATCTGGTCGTACCTGCCTCTGGCATTTCCAGAGGGTGAGTACTGGGGCCCTGACCCAGTTTTCTAAGAGCTGGCCCTGCTGTGGGTGGCCCCTGGTTCACTGGCTGAAGTAGGCGCCTCCCATCCAGGCACCACCAGGCAGGGCCCTTGACTCGGAGGAGAGGGTGGAGACCTGTGTCAGCTCACCTACTGCGCAGGTATATGAGCCTGTGTTTGCTTACCTGGCTCGTCTGGGGATCATGGGCTGGCACTGTGGTCATTCAGTGCCCCTCTGACCTGGGCGGGGATGTTCTATGTTGGCTCACGGAGCCCAGAGCAGTTCCCAGGTGTAGGCAGGTCGATGCCAGCCCGGCCCTCGCTAGGTCCCTGTCCCTGAGGGACCTGGCAGGCAGCCCCATCTGCCAGGCTGCAACACTGTGCTCACCACAGTGGGAGCTTAGCGGCCATCTGCCCCCTTCCAACACCCAGAATGTCCTCAAGCCCGCGGGCCAGGCTGGGAGACTGCGGCCCTTGGTTTTTGGTTGGTGGGACCTGGTAACCCACAGCGATGGAGGGGCTGGGCTCTAGGCTGGAGGGGCCTCCTGGGGGCGGAGGGTTTTGGAAGAATCCTGGGTGAGCCGGGGTGCGGGGGAGGGAGGGAGGTGTGGCAGCGGGGCAGGAAAACTCAGGGGGTGGCCCCAGCCGAGGCTGCAGGTGGGGGACACTGGTCTGTGGAGGGGAGAGACCAAGGTCAGATTCTAAGGCCTTCGTTCATTCAGCTCAAGACAACCGACTAAACAAACACGCCGCGCACAACCACCCCCAGCGCTGGGATCTGTCCAGCACCGCCAACGGCAGCCCGCAACCTGCCTCCCCCCACCCCCGCAATGACCTGCAAGACCCCACAGCCCTACCCACTCCTTGGCTCTCCCTCCCCCAACCTCTGCTCCTGCCACATGCCTCACATGCTTCCTCCTCCAGGCAGCCCAGCTGTAGGGGCCTCTTTTCCCTACAGCCTTGTCTCTAATGAATTAGTGACCAACTGCAGTGTCCCTGGGTAACCCATACAAGGGCTGAAGAATGTCTTTCCTGTTCTACGTGCATCCAAACTCCCAGAACAGGGCCTGGCCTTTGTGTTTGTTGATTGACTGAATGATACACAGGGGAAGGGGTACAGGGAGAGGCCGGTGCCTCACAGCGCCTCCTCCCAGCTGTGTGACCTCAGCTGTGTTTCTGAATCTCTCTGGGCCTCGGTGTCCACATCCACAGGATGGAAATGGCAGTTGTGCCCACACCACCTCGTTACAGGGGCTTCATGAGATCTGGCAGGTGAAGTGCCTGTCACTGGCCTGTCTGTATTGGGTGCCCAGTACAGGGTGGCCGTGTTTCTAGTTACTCTGGTCTTGGGTGGTTATTGCTAGTGGGGGCTTCCCACCTCCTCCCCAGCCCCCTCTCCTGGGTACAGGGGAAGTGGCTGGATGGTGGTGCTCACCATCGAGGTTGAAGACCGGGGCTTCCTGCAGATGGAACTTGGAGACGTACTCAAGATACTGTCCCAGCCACCGGGGATCCTCCAGCATTCTTCTGGCTGAAATCCAAGCGGCTGTGGTGAGGGGCCAGGAACCCAGGGCTTTTCTTGGATGAGGCCCCTCCTCCCAGCTCCCTGCCGGGCCTGGGACCCGCGGCTCTTGGGCCGTAGCTACAGTGGCTGCGCCCTGTCCCCTCGCCTGCTGCGTCCACACTCGGCACCACAGACACAGCCCTCCTTGAAAGGGAACGTCAGGCATGTCCCCTCAGGTGAGGACCCCAAGGGGGCCCCAGCCAGTCTTCAGGACAACGGCCCCTTTTCCAGCACAGCCCACCCTCCACTCTGTCCTCAGGGCCCCGCCTTCTCACCGTGGCACTTCCACTTTCTAAGCCCGATGTGGCTCAGTGACATCCACATTCATGGCTGCATGGGTTCTGTCCTCCTCAGGACAGCGGGTATGGAAGATGTTGGCCCCACATCCCCCACTGCTGGGCCCAGGTGCTGCCTGGCCAGCACCGGGGAGCCATTACCGGGGAGCCAGCACCTACCCAGCAGTGCCCACAGGCTGGTGACCTCGCCGTCGTCCCGGAAGCGGACGTAGAGGATGAGGTGGCTGTAGTCGGTGCTGACGAAGTGCAGGAGCATGGTGCCGCCTCCCTTGACTGCGGGGACCCAGGCCGGTGATCAGCCATCCTCCCCTCTGGTCCCGGCTCCATCCCACCCCATGGAGAGCGTGTCACCACCAAGAGGATGTCACTCACACACCCATGACCAGTCTAGGGCATAAGGGCCCCCCGCCCCCTATCTTTCCCAGGGGGCTGGGCTGCTCACAGGCACTTTGGTACTGGCCGAGGAGCCCCGTTGGATGGACGGTGACATTTAGTCCTTGGCACACGCCTTCTCCTCTGGGAAAAGAGAAAGGGGATTACTGGTGGTCACCCTCCTAACCCTCCCTGTCTCTTGGCCCCTGGCCTGGTGCAGGCTCAGGTCGGCTGCAGGCGGTGCGTTGGGGACATCCCCAGCTGAGGTCCCTCCATCTCCCAAGGCTCTTGGCCTCCTGGGCTTTGGAGGGTCAGATTCTCAGCTCTGGGAGCCCTGGGAGGCGGGTCTGCTCATTCCTTGGGGCGTGGAGGGGGCCCACCCATGAGGTGCCGGGATGGGGCTGAAGGGGCCAGAGGGCAGGAGTGAGGAACCGGCGGCCTCCTCGTTTCTGGGGTGGAGGCAAGCCTCCCAGGGCGGCTGGACCCAGGCCGGCCTTGGCTGGCGGCTTCGGGTCTCCAGGTGGGGGCTGTCTGCGCCGTAACTGCTGTCCACGCCATGGGTGCGTCCTCGAGTTCACAAGGTCAGCATGTGGCCCCCGGCAGACCCTCCCGACCACCAGCCGGTGCTGGGAGCACAGCCCCGCCAGGGTCCCCTAGCCTCTGGGGCGGGCGTGAGCAGCTGGTGGGAACGGGGCTGTTTGTCCCACCCACCCCCACTTTGAGGCTTCAGAGGCCCTGAAGCTGAGCCTGAGACTGCCTAGGCAGGGGCTCGAGCCCCAGTGCTGCTGTGGGTCCGCGCCAGGTCTGACTGCTGAGATGTCCCTTGGGAGGACCCCGAGGGGCTGCGGGGAACACGCTTACGTCCAGAACAAGACAAGCTCCACGTCCTCGCCCCGGCTCCAAATGGAGTGGAGCGCGAGCCTCAGGGGGTCATCTGGGGCGGCCAGGGGTGCGTGGCTGGCAGCTAGCTGAACGGTCAGCCAGCGCCCCTCCACCTGCAGGGGTGCAGGCGCAAGGACGGGTGAGGGTCCTCGGCCGAGTGGCACCTGGAGCCCCCCCCACCTTGAGGGTCTTTGCTCTCGGGCCCCAGCATTGGCACCGAGCACTGCCAGGGACGGTCACAGGCCCTGGGGATACTGGTGAGTGGCCGTGGGCTCTGGGCTGGGGACACGTGGTCCACTTCCTTGCAGCCTCTCCCCCACTTCCTTCAGCTCCTCCCATATCTGGTCCAAATGCTGTCCACTGTGGGGTCCATGTACCCCGGCTGAGTCCAGGGAAGGTGAAGGACGCCCTGGGACTGCCCTCGCTGCCCCCCACCCAGCACAGTGATGGTTGATGGGCAGGCAAGGTCAGGCAGGGGCAGGAGCCCCTCGACTCTGAGCCCCTCATCACCCTCAGGACACCCTCCTGTTGTCCCAGCAGTGACGCCGCCAGTGCTCGGCCAGGCCTCCGGGCCCATCCCCAGCAGCAGAGCGCTGCATCTACTTTCCCTGGTGGTGCAGGAATGCAGAGACCCTGCCTCTAGCTGGATGGACAGACGCCCCTTGTCGACCCCTCTCCCTTAGTGTCCTGCCCACTTCCTGCCCGCCTGCCCTGAAGTGCCTCCTCCATGTGACACTTGACCCACATCCCCATCCCAAGGCTGAGTCTGGGACCTGAGCCACACGGTTACCTTCTGGGTGTCAAAGCCTGGTTGCACTGGCACATCTTCCGGAGTCTCCTGGGCTCTGGCCAGGCCCAGGCTGAGGATCAGCAGCAGCAGGGACCCACTCTCCAGGACCTTGACCGCAGGACCCCAGAGGGAGGAGAGGCCGGGCAGCTGGCGCCCCTTCTCTGTCCCCATCCTCCAGCACTGACTTGCTACCTGGGCCAACCCAGATGTCCTAGCCAGACTCTCGGAAAATTCTGGACTATCTCCGTGGGTGTGAAGGCCTCCATGTTACCCGCCTTGCGTCCAGAGGAGTGAAGGATGCTTGGCCTGGGCTGAGGCTGCCAGGGCAGTTTGACCACATAGCTCTGTCCTGGGAGCCCTGGGAGGCGGGTCTGCTCATTCCTCAGCGCTCAACTGCCCTTCCCGGCCCGCCCTCCACCCAGGGTTGTCTGTCCATCCATCCTACAAAGCCAGAAAGACCACGACACCCTCCTCGTCTTCCCCTCCCGCTGTCCTGGGGCTGAGGTTGGCATGGAGGTCCTGGGATGTGGTCAGCTCACTGGCTCCCACTTGTCCCCAATTACAGCCAGCATCTCTCGCCTGCCCCCCCACCCCACAGCCCCTTCCTGAATTCAGAGGCTCAGAGGCTGCACTCTGTGTGTGCTGGCCCGTGGGGTGCAGCTCAGCCTCGGATGTGCTCTGCTGACCTCTTTAATGGAAGGAAGTATCCAAGATTTAAATTCTTTTCAAAGAACAATTGACAAACATCCACAAGCTGAAAATTTAAAGAACTCTGCGGAAACAGCAAACACCAGGCTTACAGAGCAGCCTCTCTGAAGGACACAGAGGAGCTCCAGGCTGAGGCAGCCGGATCCGGAAAGCGGGAGGAATGGGGCTTTCATCCAGGTGTGAATATGCCCTTGTGCCCCCAGCCCCCTGCCTTCCTCCTCCTCTCTTCCCTCCCCTCCCCCATCTGACTCTCAGATCACACAAGCCAGTGACACCAGTGTGTCCTGTGAGCTCTTGGCCTGCATGGCGTCCACCCTGAGGGAGCCCTTTCCTGGTGTCACCACCTCTCTTGCCCTGGGAGCCCCTGGGACTGTCAGCCTTGCCCGCCAGGCAGGCTTGCTGGCTTTTCCATCATCGCACCCACTTGTGTCCAGCAGTGAGGCACCCTTGGCCTTCACTTTCTGGGATCGACCACCACCCACGGACAGAGGGAGACCAAACCTGGCAGCCAGGCTGCAGAGAGGTCATTAGAGCCGCTTGCCAAGGGAGTGTCCCTGCCGGCAGCCAGGGTGTGTTCTGGGACATTAGATGACCTCAGATGATGGCCCCCTCCCCACTTCTGGGCCTTCCCCAGTCCTGGGAGGGGTCCAGCCACTGTGTCTTGGGGGTGGGCCCTGGGAGAGGGCCGGGGTAGTGAGCAAGATGGCCGGGGCCCCGGCACTGCTGTGTGATTCTGAGCCGGGCTCCACCTGCATCTCTCACAGCCTGTGGTCCCCGTGCTTGCCTGGCCTCGGCAGACGCAGGACGGTCAAGAGGCTAACATGTCAGAGGCTGACTCAGAAAGCCCTAGTTAACGCGGGCTGGCTTGTCCCTGCGACTGGAGAGCGAGACCGCCCACATCACCTGCTAACAAGGCTCACCTGTAAAGCTGGAGGGCTCTGAGCCCTCCCACATGTGCAGGTTTCTGGGTTACAACGCAGGCAGGTTAAGGCAGGACGGTTGAGCCCCGTGGGTGAAACCTCCCACTGATGTTTCTGTGGGTTTGGAGGTGTGCGGGGGCGCAATGGCTCCTTCTGGAGGGGCAGGAGTTAAATTCTTCCAGACTCAAAGTGAGAAAACCCTGGAGAGGTGCGAGGGGTGTGTCTGCACAGCAGCATTCCTGTTTCCCCTTTAGGTTCAACAGCATCACAGTGTCCCGTGGGGGTCCGGTTGCTTTACGAAGTCACCCATCTCTTTCTCTTTGACAGGAGTGACTGGGAGAGTGACAAGGTTGTGGAAACTCTGGAGGCCCGTCCATTTGGGCATTACTGGTGACTTGCAAGTGAGGCCCAGCGCCTTGCTCAGGGTGTTCAGAAGTTACAGCATTTAAGGCACAAAAGAGACCTCAATTTTTTTTTTAAGATAGTGAGCCATGAAAGGTGCTGCTGCAGGGCTGTCTGTGGTAGCACGAGTCAAGGGGACAGGCATTCTGGAGTGGGAGGGGTGTTCTCCGGTCATGGCTGCTGTTTGCGGGGAGCCTCGCCTGGGCACGGAGGGAGGCTGAGCTTGGGAAGATGCCAGGAGTGAATGAGCCTCATCTTGTGTACAAACTAGGAAGGCTTTAGCATGCTTTTTAGGATGCCCGGTCTGGACGACTGCACGTCAGCTGGGCGCATTCGTGCACATCGCTTTCTGGGTCCTCTGCTCTGTTCTACTGATCGGTGGTTTATGCTCTGCAAATTCCACAGCGTCTTCATTACTGTAGCTGCATAATAAGATTTGCAATGTGATAGACTGACTCCTCCCATCTTACTCTTTTAACTTTAGCTCTTCTGTAGTCAAGATTCTTTGCCCGCTCGTATAAGCCTTAGAATAATCTTATCTATGTCTACAAAAAACCTTGCTGGGATTTGGATAGGAATGGCGTTAAACCTGCATGTCACTTTGAGGAGAACTGACATCCTTGCTTTGTTTAGTCTTCTAGTCCATGAACTCTCCATTTATTTAGATCTTCCTTGATTTCTTTTATCGGCAAGCATTGTGTGGTTTTCAGCCTTCAGATCCTATACAAGTTTCATGAGATTAACACCTAAGTATTCCACTTTTTTTTGAGTGGTTATAAATGGTTTTGCATTTTTAATTTTGGGGTCCACATGTTCATTGCGAGTATGTAAAGATGCCACTGATTTTTGTATGTTTAGCCTGTATCTGGCCACCTTGGTGAACTCAGTCATTAGTTCTAGGAGGTTTTGGGTTTTGTTTTCATATTTTTCGTTTGTTTGTTTGTTCGTTTTAGATTCTGTGAGGTTTTCTACATAGACAATCATGTCATCTGCAAATAGAGGTGCTTTTATTTCTTCCTTTCAGATCTGTATGCCTTTCATCACCTTTTCTTGCCTTATTGCTCTGGCTAGAACTTGCCACACAAGGATGAGCGAGAAGGGTGAGAGGACCATTCTTCCCACATTCTTGATCATTCATTGTTCATCGCTGATGAAAGTGTTAATCACCCCCCACTAAGTGCAATGTTAATATAAGTTTTTTGTAGATGACCTTATCAAGTTGAAAAAGCTCCCTCTATTCTTGTTTTTCTGAGTTTTTCTTTTTTTTAATCATGAATGAGTGTTGAATTTTGTTGAATCCTTTTTCTTGCATCCCTGGCATAAATCCTACTTGGGTATGGTGTATAATTCTTTTTATATATTGCTAAAATCTATTTGCTAATATTGTATTAAGGATTGTTGAGTCTATATTGATGAGAAACATTAGTCTGGAGTTTCCTTAAAAAAAAACCTGTGTGGTTTTGGTATCCACTTTACCAATATACCAATATTTGGCATACCAAATTACCAATAATATTTTGGTAATATTAGTTTCACAAAATGAATTAGGAAGTGTTTCCTAATCTATTTTCTGCAAGAGAGTTTGTAGAACTCATGCTAATTCTTTACACGTTTGGTGTAATTCTCCTATGAAATAACCTAGGCCTGGACATGGCGTTGGGGGAGTTCTAAAATTAGGAATTCAGTTTTCTTAATAGTTGTAGGACTATTCAAATTATCTAGCTCACATTGGATGAGTCCTGCTAGTTTGTATTCTTTAAAACAATTGGGCCATTTCATCTATGTCATCAAATTGATTATACTGAGTTGCCCACAGAATTCCCTTATTATCTTTTTGAAGTCTGCAGGGTCTGTAGTGATAGCCCCTCTTTCGTTCCTGATATGACTCATTTGTGTCTTCTCTCTTTTATGCTTCGTGAGTCATGCTAGAGGTTTCCTTTCCAACGCTTATGCCTTTTGTCTCTTTTTGTTATCTTACTGCACTAAGACTTTCAGTATGATGGGAGAGGACAATCTTGCCTTCATCTCAGTCTTTATGGAAAGTGTTTAGTCTCTTATCGTTAAGTATGGTGTTAGCTGGTTAAAAATATATTTTTTTTAATTATCAGTTTAAGGATATTCCCTGCTGTTCCTAGGCAGGATTGTACTTTCTGGCTCCCTTCCTGTTGAGTGACAACTTCTGGCCGACAGGTTGAGAAGGGAGGTAGTGTGTGTGCCTTCTGGGATAAAGCACTGGATGGATTGTGTGGCCCTCCGGATGTCCACATTTCCCCTCTGGATGGTGACCAGCAACCTCGTGAGTGGTGGCTACTCGATCACCTGGATCCTTGAGTGATCACGAGGTGCAGACACCGCTGCCAACCTGCAAAGGAGCTTTCACATAAACAAGCAACAAGTCTTTGATGTTTTAAGCCACTGAGACTTTTCGGGTTATTCATTAATGCAGCAAAGCCAGTTTGTAAGGAATGACCCTCCTGGTGTGTAAAGGATTTGCCTCATGAGTGGCACAGGATGTTTTTGAAATATGTATATATATTTCAATCAATTAAAGGTGCTTAGATGGGCGTTTCTCCCTTACCCTTTATTATATATTTTCTAATGGGGACACTTCTTTGATCCTTCTGGTTTTAGTCACGATATATTGAATACTTTGTTGGATTCAACTTGTTAATAAATTATTTGGGTATTTGTGTCTTTATTCCAAAAGGTGATGGTTCTGCTCCTCCTCCTGCATCATCCTCGAGGAGCTTTGTCGGAGGATAGCCCAGAATCCCCATTCGTCTGTGTGCCTGGGGCACACTGTGTGAGCCAGGATGCGCCTGATGCTGGTTTGGTGGTTCCCACCCATTGACTGAGAAGATCGGGAACTCTTCATCATCTGCTAGAGTTACTGTTCTTTCCAAGTTCTCTTTTTTTAGCCTGTATTGATATATGATATATTTTTTAATGGATCCATTTCATCTATATTTTAAAATCTTTAACATATATAATTAAACATATATAAATATGAGCATATATTATGTTATATGTAAATTGTTCTTATTATTTAAAAATCCCTGTTTCAGCAGGGAGGGTACAGCTCAGTGGTAGAGTGCTTGCCTAGCATGCATGAAGTCCTGGGTTCAATCCCCAGTGCCTCAAATAAGTAAATAAATAAACCTATCACCTGCCCCCCTAAAAAAGACAGTGGTTGGCCCTAAATACTAAAATGCAGAAATACTAAAAATCCCTGTTTCTGTTGC